TTTTCTATAGCAGCTGTACCCTTCTCTGTTCCCATCAACAGTGTACAAGGGTTAACTGGCCAACCCTTAATTTTTTTTTTTTTTTTTTTTGGATAGTAGCTATCTTAACAGGTGTGAGGTGATATCTCACTGCAGTTTGGACTTTCGTTTCATTGATAGTTAATGATGTTGAGAATCTTTTCATATACCTGTTGACCGTTTTGTTTTTGTTTTTGTTTTTGTTTTGCTACTGAGCTGTAAGAGTTCCTTATTTTTTTTTTTTTTGGAAATTAACTCATATAAATGGAATTATGCAGTATTGGTCCTTCTGTGAATGGCTTATTTCACTTAGAATAATGTCCTCCAGGTTAATTTGTGTTGTCACAAATGGCAGGATTTCCTTCTTTTTAAGCCTGAATAACATTCCATCGTATGTACATTTTCTTTATCAAGTCATCTGTCAATGGACCCTAAAAGACTTCAGTACAGCAAAGGAAACAAAAAAGAGAATGAAAAGGCAACCTTCAAAATAGGAGAAAATATTTGCAAACTATATATCATATAAGGGGTGCTGGGCTGATTCTCAGGCTAAGCATGTGACCTATTAGGGGCTCTGGGACTAGTTTGCTGGTGATAGGGTCACCTTGCTGATTCTCTGACCAGGGATGGGCTTACCAGGGGCAGGACAGCCAGGCTGTTTCTCTGGGTCTGGGGTATAGACACATATTGGCTTGGTTAGCTGGGTGTGGGTCTTCTAGGGGCTGGTCTGCTGAGCTGCTTCTTGGGGCTGTGGGTGAGGTTGTGCTTCCTCAGTTGGTTTGGGAATGTATCTTCCAAGGGTGGAGCTGCTTAGCTACTTCTCAGGGCTGCGCGGCAAGATCACACTTCACTGGGTTGGCTTGGGAGTGTGTCTGACAATGGCAAGGCCACCCAGCCACTTCTTGGGCCTGGGGTGACATCACAGAGGGAACCTGCCAAGGGCAGAACAGCCCAGCCACTTCTCCTGTTGGAGGGTGCAAATATGCTTTAGCTTCACCAGCTCAGGGGAATGTTCATTAGGGTAGGGACCCTTCATTAGAGTAGAAACCCCAGAGTTGTTTTTTCAGGTTGTGGGATGGGCACACAGAGCTCAGTTGGCTGGAGGTGGAGGAGAGGCAGGTCCACCTGTCTGATCTCTGGCCAAGGTTGTGAGGTGCAGCAGTTCAGTTCAGCTGGCCTGGGGTTGGATTCCCAGACATACAGAACCGGAGCCACAGCTACTCCTGGGCCCAGGATCCAAACTGCCAGGATCGTGGTATTGTAGCCATTCATGTGAGTGCATTGGGATGACAGAGGAACCTTAAGGCTAGAGAAGTGCAATAGCTACTGGCCCCAGAGCAGGGCATGTTCCAACAGAAGCTAAGGTTTCAGGATGCTGCAGTACTGCAATGGCTTGGGCCATGAAGGTGGACGTAGGGAGGGAGGGCACAATGTGTGCTCCTATTCTGGAGCGGTACAGTGCATGTATACTAGGCAGCTCCCCACACTTGGCACTGGGCTTATAAGGGCTGTGATATTCTCCTCCAGCAGGAATTGCAGGTTTCTGTGGTGAGAATGGAGGTTGGTGAGGGCCTTCTGCTTACCTGATCACCTCAAGGAAAAGTCCCTCCTGCACTCATCCTGGTGGCTGAAGTAGTGTACTTTTCTCGCCTCTCTATGCTGCTATCCTGGGCTTTCATGCTCCACGGGGATTTCACCGGTCTCTTGCTGCACTCACACTTTCCCACAGATCCTCTCCTCAATTTTGAGCTGTGTATTAGTTGTGTTAGTCCTTTTTTGTGGGAGGGATGAGTGCCAGACATCTCTAGTCAGCCATCTTGCCTGGACCTAATCCCAAAAAACATAAATTTAAATAAATATTTAAAATATGATAGATTTCAATTAAAATATATTTAAAATATATATTTAAATACATATTTGAAATATAGAGAGAATTAAATCTCTCTCTATGTGTGTATATATATATATATATATATATATACAATTAAATATATGTGAAATTAAAAATATGCATGTATACACACACACATGCCAGCCATAGCACAAAAGGCAGGAAAGGAGAATAAAATTAAAAGATACCAAGGTCCTTGCACTATTTGGAGAGTAACAAAAGTACTACTTTACAATAGGCTATAATAAGACAAGAATGCATGTTGTAATCTCTAGCACCACCAGTGAAATAGTGGGAAAAAGTATATTTAATAAGTTAGTACAGAAGAAAATTGTAATATAAAAATTCTTAGCAAATTCAAAACAAGACAAGAAAGGAGTGAAAAAGGGAATATGGAACAGATGGAGATTATAGAAAACAGTCAGATGGTAAATTTATATCAGAATATATGAATAATTACATTAAATGTAAATTGACTAAACATCCCAGTTAAAAGGTAAAGATTCCCATATTGGATTAAAAAACAAAATGCAAAGATATGTTACTTATAATAGACATATTTAAAATATAAAGACACTTAAGGATGACAGTAAAAGGATGAGAAACATATACCAAGCAAAACCTAACTTCCCCCGCCAAAAAACCATTAGTTTAACTATATTAATATCTAAATAAGATTAACACAAAAAAAATTAGTAGAGATATAAGACACATTTAATAACTATAAAAGAATCGATCCAACAAGAACATATAACCATTCCAAATTTGTAAGCACATGTTGTAGGTTAGGTTATTGTTTGGAAAATATCCACTATGTACCTCCCTCAACCCCACCCCTCTGTGGGAGAAAACACTTTCCCATCTCATTTATGTTAGGCTTGTCCAAGGAAATATAAGCAGAGTGACAGACTGCCAGCTCTGAAGCTAGGCTTTAAGTGGCATTGCATGTTTCCTTTTTTCTTTCTAAGTGTTCTAATCTCCGTGATATCAAGAGTGTGACCCTGGTAGGCACCTTCAACCTAGGCTCCAGAATGAGACATGGAACAGACCACAGCCAACAACCAAATCCAGCTGACTTGCAGACCTCAGCCTAACACTAAGCTGATCTATATACATATGACTGAGAAACCTAACTAGTTGCAGTTGTATGCCACTAAGATTTTGTGGTTGCTTGTTGCTGTGGATTGAATGTCCCCTCAAAACTCACTGAAGTTTGACTCCCATTGTAACAGTGCTAAGAGGGTGGGAATCCAATTATGGTATTTGATAAGTGGGGCCTTTAAGAGATGATCGGATTGTGAGGACTGTCCCCTTGTGAATGGATTGATCCATTCATGGAGTAATGGGCATGGTTCTGATGGCTTTATAAGGAGAGTGAGTGAGAAGTTTGGCTCTCTTGCTCAGACCATTCTCACCATTTGATACCTTGAGTTGCTATAGAAGAAGACCCTCACTAGAAGTGCTTCCTGGACCATAAACTTCCCAACCTCCAAATTTTAAGAATTAAATTCCATCTTTTTATAAATTACCCAGTTTCAGGTGCTCTGTTATAAGCAACAGAAAATGGACTAATACACTTGTTATGCAGCAACAGCTGACTGACAGAGCACCTAATAATCAAGTTTTTATATATATATGAAGTAAAAAGAAAAAAAAAAGAAATAGACAAATTCCACCCTTGGTATCCCACCCTTGATAACAATCTGATAGAAAAAGCAGACAAAAATCAGTAGGTATATGCAAGAGTGGGAAAAATCTTGATCTTATTGACATACATAAATCATTGCATCCAACAATTGCTATTCAATGGTGTTTATTGATTAAACTCTCCTCTTTAAAAAAATGATTTTAAGACTGGATAAAGTAATCAAATGCAGCTATATGCTGATTGCAAAGACATACTTTAAAAACACAAGAAAAATGTTCAGTAAACAAAGCAAGTCACAGAGGAAAACATAGTTTGATTCTATTTACATCAAGTTCAAAAATAGGCAAAACTCAACAATCTTCTATAGCGATAACAAATAAGTGGTAAACTATAAACAAAAGCAAGAGAATGAGTACTGGACAATGCAGGACAGTGGTTACTTCTGATAACAGAGGGAAGAGGGAGAAAGCAATCTAGTGGGGACTACATATGGGGCTTCTAAGTCTCTGGAAATGTTTTATTTCTTAAGTCAGGGGATGAGTACATAGTTGATTGATATATTTTCATTCTTTAAAGTGTGCATACAATTTTGTAAGTATGATAGTGATACAATTTATAGTTAAAAATAAAGATTGAGTTCTCAAGAAAAGAATGGGGGAAAAAATAGTCTTGTGCCAAACCTATAGAAGCAAGAGTTCCCTCTCCAGGGTTCCTGACAGCACAGTCCAGGCAACCAGGTCAGGAAGCAGACAGTTTTCAGTGGAAAGCACTCACACGGGAAGTGCATCTCATGTGGACTATTGCTTCCACCTTAGCCTCAGCCTGTCATTGCTCTCTGCCACAAGCCAGTGACCTCTAACCAGGCACACTAGCTGTTTGAAGCCCTCAGATGCCCTCCTGTGAGGTGAAGGAATGTGTGAGAGTTACTGTTCTGGAACATCTGTCCCTTGGCCTTATGCTTTGCTAGCTGCTTGAAGGGTCTTTTAGAATAACAACTCCCAAATGGTGGCAGAAGGAATGAGCTGAGTCTGCCTCAGTGGAATGCCCAGCTCTTCCCCTTCCCTTCATGCTCTAAAATTACAGGGTTTTTTTCCTCCTTTACTGTCTTGCAGAGGAAAACAGATCATAACATCACAATCAAATGTTCTCATCCTGACTGCTTTACTGACCAACTCATTTGAAAGGAATTCTTCATTTTGAGATATCGATATTCCATCTTTCACCAAAGACAATTTTCTTAACATTGGTTGGCCTAAAATGTTTCTCAAATTTGAACATGCATCGTAGTCACCTGGTTAACTAATTAAAACACAGATTGTTGAGCTCCTCCTCTAGAGTTTCTGATTCAGTAGGTCTGAAGTGGGGCCTGAGAATCTGCCTTTCTAGCAAGTTTGCAGGTGAGGCTGATGCTAGTCTGGGGATGACATTTTGAGAACCACTGACCTAAAATGTCTTTTTTCTTCTCAAGGTATTTCTGAAGATTCCTCCTCCCCATCCTTTGGCTGAACACCACACAGAGACTCCCTCCTCTGTGGAGCACATTTGCTGCCTCATCATCCTCTGCAGAGCTGCCTTCACCTCCTGGTTCTTCAGGCTGTAGATGAGGGGGTTCAGCAAAGACGTCATTACACTGTACTGAATGGAGACCACTCGTTCCAACACTGAGCCCGAGGCAGGGCTGATGTACCTGAATAGAGCTGTCCCATAGAACAGGAGCACCACGGTGAGGTGGGAACAGCAGGTGGAGAAGGCTTTGCCTTGGCCTTCAGAGGAGCAGATGCTCAGTAAGGCAGAAATGATTCTGGAGTAGGAGAAGAGGATCAAGGGAAGTGTCAGCAGCCCCAGAAATGCACTGGATCCCGACAGAAGTAACATATTGGCAGTGGGATCAGTACAGGACAGAGGGAAGAGTGAAGGCAGCTCACAGCTGAAGTGGGGGATGATGGACCCACAGAAGTGTAACTTGAGGATGACAAGACTGTTCACTAGTGAGTTCAGGAACCCCAGCATCCATGCTGCACCGACCATTGCAGTGCAGAGAGGCCCATTCATGACCACGGTGTAGAGCAGAGGGTGGCAGATGGCAGCATAGCGATCATAGGCCATGGCAGAGAGAAGACTGGCTTCAGTACACCCAGAGAGAAGAAAAAGGAAACTCTGGGTAATGCATCCCCACACCGAGATGCTTTTCTTCTGAGTCAGGAAGTTCTGTAGCACTTTAGGCATGGTGACTGAGGAGAAGCAGATATCTAGAAAGGACAGGTGTCCAAGAAAGAAGTACATGGGGGTATGGAGGTGAGAATCCCCTCTGATCACCAGGATCATCCCAAGATTCCCCATCAGGATCAGGAGGTAAATCCCCAGGAACAGCACAAAAAGCACAGCCTGGACGTGGCAGTCAGCAGACAGCCGAAGGAAGAGGAACTCAGTGACGACAGTGAGATTGTTCATGGTTGTTTATGAATTTTATCCCTAGAAAGAAATCAGTTGTACTACAGGTAATGGGTCAGTAATCTGAGTAATTTCTAGTGTTCAGAATATCATCCCTGCACTCCAAAACTGCCCAGGCAATATTTCTTTCAGCTTAAAAATAGAAAAGGAAAACTGAGGGTGAGGAATTGCAATTGTGACTGTGATGGGTTGAATTGTGTCCCCCGGCCCCCATATCTTGAAGTCCTAACCTCCAGTACCTCAGAATGTGACTTTATTTGGAAATAGGGTCATTGTAGAGGTAATAAGTTAAGATGAAGTCATACTGGAGTAGGATGGACTCAACCCGGTATGACTAGTGTCCTTATAAGAGAGGGGAGAGCACTGTGTGAAGACAGACACAGAGGGAAAACAGACATGTGACAACAAAACAGAGACTGGAGTGAAGTACCTGCAAGCCAAGGCATGCCGAGGATTGACAACCATCACCAAAAGCTGGGAAGAGGCAAGGAAGAACTCTTCCCTACAGGTTTCAAGGGGAGTGGGGTCCTAATCACACCTTGATTTCATACTTATAGCCCCCAAAACTGAGACAATAAATTTCTATTGTTTTAAGCCACCCGGTTTCTGCTACTTTCTTATATCAGCCCTAGAAAATTAATATAGTGACTTTTAGGGTTTCTTCCCCTTGACCCTCCCCAGCTGTCACTAATTCTGTCAGTGTATACAGCAAACATCTTTGGAAACTAAATCAGATTGCATGCTTTAACCAGAGTATACTTATGAGAACAAACAGGATGCTTCAAATGAAATTGTTTCAGATATTTAGTTGCAAGCCTTTTTGTATTTAGATTTGGGTCTTAAAGCCAAGAACTCCAGGACTCACCATCTTATCCTAGACATTCTGAGTTTGGATAAAGATGGAAAGAGGGCTTGAACGATGCTACCAGAGGTTGCTGGGAACTTTTTAAACATTTAGGATCCCTTCAATGGTACCCCATCTCTCCCAATCCATACTAGCAAAGATGGAAAAGTATTTGTGGGGATGGGAGAGAGC